TCTTTTGGAAACTGCAGTGATATGTACTTATTGGTACGTATTTCGCGTCTCGCGAAAATGTGCCCCCGGGTACGTTTTTGCCGTGAGACCAGGTTGGCATATACAATTGAATAAACCTTTAGAATAATTTTGAATAATGTTGGAAAATAAAAATATGTTGAAAGCAAAACTTTATTTCAAGTTCAAGCGATTCCAATGTTGTTTAACTGTTTAAACTATAGTTTAAAGTTTGATGGAATCAAGTTCCCAAATTAAATCTTATTCTGATCAGTAGCTTAAGTCTAGTTTGCGTTAGCTCTTTCTTGTTGATCGTTGCGCTTTAGTGTTTTTCTTGTAATCCGTGGCACTGATGGACACCTCGGGCTCCTCACCCTGGAAGTCCTCGATCCCCTGTCAGTCAACCGACAGATTCAGCGCTTACATCATCAAACAGTGCCGTTCTGTTGGCAGAGGTCGTGGAATGTGATGAGGTTGAGAGAACATAGGCACAAAGGCAAGAATGCTCAGAATGAGAGCAAACAGGGCAACAGTGAGACTGACTAAAACGTTTGTCAGATTGGTGACTCAATTCTAGCTGTGACTGCAATGACCTATAAAGTCTGAATAAAATGCAGTAACATTGCTGGTCATGGTAGGTTTGGTAAAATCATTAATGAAGCTTTTTCTTTTATTTTTATTATTTTCTTTTTTTCTTTTCTTATATTTTATTATTTTTCATTTTTGTTTTCATTACTGCTAGTTTGAGATTTTTTTCTCTTTTTTATTTCTCCTTTTTATTGTATGTTCATGTTACCATTAGAAATTGTTAAAAGCATATCATTTTTCTCATGCACACATAACGGGGAAAAGAGTGTGAGCAGTAAAAAGCCAGAGTGTGGCCGAAAGGAAAGAGGAAGCCGGTGAGTCAGGAACACCCTCTTTGTGGAAATGTCAAGCTCAACCCTCAAGAAGCTTTGGAAACACAGTCAAACAATAAGGTTTATTTAACTTAAGATGCTTGTGATTGCTGGACGGTGTAGAGGGTGTTAACTTTACTGTTTATTGTCAGTGGACGAAGGCTGATGTGAGGAGAACAACCAGGCGGTAGACAATTCAACACCACAGCTATTTTCAGCTGGTTTAAGTAAGCTATCTAGCTTCCTTTTCTCTATTTCAAAGATATAAGCAGGTTAATCGGGTATTCACAGTACAAAGATACTAAATGAAGCCATGTGTACAATAATATCAAAGAAAAATTGCATTGGGGGAACTTTTCTAGCCCCTGTTTTAAAAGATTATAACAGCTTTAAACATGTTATGTATTTTCAATTGCATTTTCCTCATTTTTAAGAGTATAAAAAGGTTACGCCGATACCAGAATTATTTTTTATCTTTTCCTCTATTTGTAAAACTTTTTAAAATCATAGAAATATTATTCAACAAAAAATCTGAAATCAGAAATATTTATATTCATATAAATTTAACAGAAATGTAATATTTTTACATTATGATCTGAAAGTAGCTTTATTAGGTGTAATTATCAGAATTTAGTTTTTTTTAATTTATGGTAAATTAATTTGACTGCTACAGTAGTTAATTTGTTGTGTTTGCAAGTCCACAGCTTATCCAAAATGTGTATTTTTATGGAGAGGTTTACTAAAGACTAGAAAACTATTAGGTCTAAACTGAAAGTGCTGAAAAGAGCTTCTACCTTTCACATCTTCATAAATATGCAAATATGAAATTGTCCTGCTTTTCTGGGACATCTGAAACTTGTATTGCCGTCACACCAGTTGCCAGTTTTCTAGTTGTTCTGGTCTGAGGTGTCCTCTCAGTCTTTATTAAGCAGGTTCAGAATCGGCTCTTTGATGGTTTGTGAATAAGGTTCAATTCTCTGTCAGACTTTGTACACTGCAGAGGGCACATCTCTCACCCATGGCCCCTTAGCTTGGCTGATGTTGGCGGACAACGTGCCAAGAATTTCCTGGCACTTGTTGGAAGCAGACATTTTGGCTCTTAGGTTGACAGCCACATTGTGGTCATGTCAGGCAACTGTCCTGATTGGAAGATGTTGTCCAATCATTTTTGACCACCGTGTTCCGTTTGACCGTGCTGTTGAGTGGTCTTGGCTGGGCCGTTTGTTTCATTGATTCAAGTTGTTTGAGAGGTACATAACCCTCACTCCAACAGACAAAAGGCTTTTCACTACAGACAGGATTCCACTACTGACTTAGTTACACAAGTCATTGCACACTTATGTATGACATACTATTTGGGCACTGTTTTGTTTGCTTTTCACCATTCTCTCTCTCTCATTATGGAGAGAGTATAAATGTGAAATTGTACAATGGCTAATCATGTCCTGTTGAGAGTCTCTAATTGATTGATTGAGTAAATTGCTTGTGTAGGTGTTGCTTGTAATTTAAGTGTACTTTCATTACTGCAATAAGCACAAGACAATTGAGTACAGTTATAGTTCACCTTAAAATTAAAATTAGCTGAAAATTGACTTTCCCTCAGGCCATCCAAGATATAGATGAGTTTGTTTCTTCATCTGAACAAATTTGGAGAAATTAAGCATTACATCACCAATGGATCCTCTGCAGTGAATGGGCGCCGTCAGAATGGGAGTTCAAACAGCTGATAAAAAC